TAATATTATTCAGGATATTGCGATCAGGAAGAAGTGAGTAGTAAAGAGTAAGGTTAGTGAGATTGTTTCAGAATAAGGATTTACTGTTAGATCACCACAATACAGAAAACAAAGAATAATTAATTCACTTCTTTCAACCCAAAGTGTAATCAGGCTGCTGTAGTTTTATGCATTACAATAGATAAAGAGATAAAAAGAATGTATTATTTCAATGGATATTGTATATTCAGAAGTATATAAAATAATATTCAAAATTATATACAAGTATAACAGTATATACATAAACAAAAGTAGAGGTAAAGATCCAGAAATTCTGTTCTGATTTTCCAAGATTAATATTAATCTTGTAATCTAACTCAAGTAAAGGTCAAATTAGATGCTGCTATGTAGTGTCTATATTTGTGTTACATAATCCTTTTCTGCTCTTCTTCCCCGAATTCTCACTCTTTAAACCAGATAGGAATTCCTAGGCGTTTGTCATCTTTAATACCATGCTACTGAGTTTTACCAACATGGGATGGAAGAAAACAAGGAGGGTTTCTTCTGAAATGTGTCCTGTCAGAGCCATTAACATCCAAGTCACTTGGTGAGTCCCACTGTGCTCACAGGAGATTTAGCTGTGCCTGAGTGAATATGCAATCCTGCTCACGTTGACAGCACTGCAGGCTCCAGGGGACCAACACTGTGCGAGTTCAAGCCCACCCAGCTTGACTGGCTTGACCAGTTGTGCTTTGCCACTTGAAGAATGCTGGTCACAGCCACCTGACGGCCTACTGTACAGGCGTCAACCTACACTCTGAACAAGCATGTCTGCTAATTGAACCTTTCAGGAGGTTGGAAGTTAACTAAAGTACAAATTTAAAGAGAATCAATTTTAGAATATTACCAGAATAAATCAGAGTGTGATCCATGAGGCCAGTCCTCAGCCTCAAGGCCATTTCAGGTATATTTTCTCTGCCATTGAACCTGTTTATCCTCAGTTTGAAGCTTTAATCTTATCACACTGATCAAGAGTAACTTGCTGCTAATGTATGTAAACTACAATACTCATTATCTGCTACAATACTCATAAATATATATTTAGATTGAAAAGTCAATGTTTTATTCCAAATTCAGATTTGTACTGCCCAGTGCTTTGCTCTTCGGCTACTATTATTTTGTATTATTCTGTTTATGGTGAGTCTATTTAGTGTAGCTCCGGGCCAACATACTGTAAGTGTTAAAACTATAAACCATGACCATAAAGCTTCATAAAGTTCAACAACATTTTAAAGTGGTTTAGCTTGCTCACACCTGAAGAAGGCTTCAGTGCCCAAACGTTGTGTTTCCTTTCTTCTCTTTTCAGCACGGAATAAACCTATTACTTGTCCCATTGCAACATTTAAAAGTGGCGTTGAGATAGCTGTCCTTATTTTCCTTTTAACAGGTTAAATTGTTAATGTTCTTGACACTGCACAGGAAAAATGTTTTTCAAACAATAATAGTAGTTCTGCTCCTTTGTGTTTTGCAGGAAGAGGTGAGTCCTTAATTTTAGGAGGAAGAATATGTTCTTAGTTGCGGGATGTTCTGGATAAAGGATCTTTTATTTCTGTTGGGTCTCCGCTAGCCGAGAAGCCTGCGTTCCCTGTGTAATGAGACTCAAGCCCAGCTCG